AGGGGGAAACAGGAGAAGCAAAAAATGTCATCACAGATCAGTCTGCTGCCTGGAAGAACTTCACCTGCTTGAGCAAGCCCGTGAGCTCCTGCCTGTAGAGAGGTTACCTCCCTGGGAGGATAACTCATGCAAGATTATCATCAATGAAATGGCAACGAAAAAGTCCAACATAATAGCTCAAGAAATGAGGCACAAGTATCTGAAGGAAATCTATAAAGAAACCGGAAATGAGTTAGATCAAATCTACACTGATGAGTCATCTAACCCTGTCAATGGCAGGGCTGGTGCAGCATACACGGTAATTAGGAATAATGCCTTACAACGCGGAAATGAAAGAAAAAGCAAGTATTGAGAACTATGCCTCATCAACACAAGCGGAGCTAACTGCCATTGTTATGGCGTTAAGATTCCTTGAACGGAACACTAACGGTGCAGTGATCTGCACTGACTCTAAAGCAGCGCTACAAAGCCTTACTAAAAATCGAGCAGAAAATCTTGCGATAGTCGCTGAGATCAAGAGAGCTGTGAGAGTACTAACCAATCAAGGAAGAGTCGTCAAATTTCTGTGGATCCTCTCCCATTTTGGAATATGTGGGAATGAACGAGCAGATATGTATTATCAGGCAACATCACCGTGACAAGGTAACTGAGGAAAGGAGGATAGAAGAACAAATCAGTGAATCTGTATGATGGTACAATGTGGTTGCAACTGGCAATCCCAATCATTATGGACGAAGAGGAGGAGGACGCGGGAGAGAATCAGTAAAAGCAAGAATCCGTCTTGGATACAAATATCCATGGAGATTCGGAATGGAAACAACAGTTGAGCAGAGGAGTTGCAGAATCTGTGATGAGAGTGACGGACACCGCCTTGACCACTACCTGAGAGAATGTGAACGCTTGAGAGACATTAGAAATATGTGTAGAATAATAAACCCCACATTGTTTGAGTTAGGAAAACACTATTTGCCAAATATTGATACTGTTCTTAAAAGATTCCCCCATTTTGCACCCACAAGATAACGTAAGATTTTAAGGGTTGACGAATGTTAATCTTATTGTTTGAGAAGCTGGGTACAAGTGACAGGATGAACAACCCAGCGGGTTTTCTTCCTATTGGGTTGTACATGCTGCTATGGCGGTATGTCCACTCACAGGATGAATGGCGTTGCCCAGTAAACTCGCCCCTCGGGGCAAAATATAAAATTAAAACTATCGGGGTGAGGCTCCCAGCATCACACTACCAGGGTGGGGCTCCCAGCGCCACACACTACCAGGGTGGGGCTCCCAGCGCCACACACTACCAGGGTGGGGCTCCCAGCGCCACACTACCAGGGTGAGGCTCCCAGCGCCACACACTACCAGGGTGGGGCTCCCAGTGCCACACACTACCAGGGTGGGGCTCCCAGCGCCACACTACCAGGGTGAGGCTCCCAGCGCCACCTTTGGTGTCTCACCCCAATACTCTGGAAGGAGGAGGAAGCGTCACAAATGTCCCTCTTCCTTGAAAGTAACTTGAGCGTTGTGGTGCCGAGGACTTGTGTTGTTGGTGGAGTTTCTTGCCGGGAGTGACTCACCAGAGTGGCTATAGTGTCAAGTTAATGGTGCAAGTGTAGCAGATGGCAGTTGCTGGGGAAGTTGGCGGTGACTCCTGGCCAGTGACCTGACCCCGTTGGTTGGTGGCACTTCCCCTCCCTCCCGTTGGCGCCGCCCTTCCCTCCCACGCCCATCGCCCTGCTCTCCCACGCCCACCGCCCTGCTCTCCCACGCCCACCGCCCTGCTCTCCCACGCCCACCACTCTTGTTTACGTGCAGGTAGGGAGGGGTTACAGGAGGCAGCGAGGCGTGTGTCAGGCAGTCTCTGGTGCTCCTCTCACGTGGGACCTTGTGCGAGCACTGGTAAGAGGGATAGCTCTAAATCAGAAAATGGTTAATGCGGAATATGCTGTCATATTCAATGAGACATGCATATATATATATATATATATATATATATATATATATATATATATATATATATATATATATATATATATATATATATGTGTGTGTGTGTGTGTGTGTGTGTGTGTGTGTGTGTGTGTGTGTGTGTGTGAAAGTTATTATTAGTGTGTGGCTATCTATATTACATAACCACTACATATAGTGTGGTTGCTTTTTAATTATATAATATTATATATTTTATAATTCAAAACAACACACTAGTTATAGTGTGTTGTTTTGAATATTGCCAAGAAGGATATACTTAATTCGTTTTGCCGGGAATGGAACGATGGATCCCCGAGTGTGACTGGAGAACGAAGCCACCTCTGCTATGAGACCCAATATTGGAGGATAAAAACCCTACACTTGTGTATTTGTGAAATTAATGAAAAGAAATTACACCAAGTCTTTCACACTCTCGTGAATGCTTTGTCAAGGTCTGAGTGTGGGGTTAGGACCAGACTTACGTCTCAACGTCTAATCTTAGACGTTGAGGTCTAAGTCTCGTGCTATCTCCACACTCAGACAAAGCATTCAGGAGAGTGTGAAAGACTTGGTGCAATTTCTTTTCATTAATTTCACAAATACACAAGTGTAGGGTTTTTATCCCATGTTATTGTGTTTGTGAGAAGACATTACCATTACTTAATAGACCGAACATTAATGTTGCTGGCACACAAGTTCTCTATATTCCCGCCAGGGGTCTTCCCTTCGGAAGGACCGGCTCTCCAATGGTCATTTTATAATGTTATTGTGTCGTTAACAACACGTGTGAAGTGCAAGTTGCTGCAGGAGAAGCCACCAGGAGAAGCCACCAGGAGAAGCCACCAGGAGAAGCCACCAGGAGAAGCCACCCAGAGAAGCTACCAGGAGAAGCTACCAGGAGAAGCCACCAGGAGAAGCCACCAGGAGAAGCCACCAGGAGAAGCCACCAGGAGAAGCCACCAGGAGAAGCCACCAGGAGAAGCCACCAGGAGAAGCTACCAGGAGAAGCTACCAGGAGAAGCCACCAGGAGAAGCCACCCAGAGAAGCTACCAGGAGAAGCTACCAGGAGAAGCCACCAGGAGAAGCCACCCAGAGAAGCTACCAGGAGAAGCTACCAGGAGAAGCCACCAGGAGAAGCCACCAGGAGAAGCTACCAGGAGAAGCCACCAGGAGAAGCCACCAGGAGAAGCCACCAGGAGAAGCTACCAGGAGAAGCTACCAGGAGAAGCCACCAGGAGAAGCCACCAGGAGAAGCTACCAGGAGAAGCTACCAGGAGAAGCCACCAGGAGAAGCCACCAGGAGAAGCCACCAGGAGAAGCCACCAGGAGAAGTCACCAGGAGAAGCCACCAGGAGAAGCCACCAGGAGAAGCTACCAGGAGAAGCCACCAGGAGAAGTCACCAGGAGAAGCTACCAGGAGAAGCTACCAGGAGAAGCCACCAGGAGAAGCTACCAGGAGAAGTCACCAGGAGAAGCCACCAGGAGAAGTCACCAGGAGAAGCTACCAGGAGAAGCCACCAGGAGAAGCCACCAGGAGAAGCCACCAGGAGAAGCCATCAGGAGAAGCTACCAGGAGAAGCTACCAGGAGAAGCTACCAGGAGAAGCCACCAGGAGAAGCCACCAGGAGAAGCTACCAGGAGAAGCTACCAGGAGAAGCTACCAGGAGAAGCCACCAGGAGAAGCTACCAGAAGCCACCAGGAGAAGCTACCAGAAGCCACCAGGAGAAGTCACCAGGAGAAGCCACCAGGAGAAGCCACCAGGAGAAGCTACCAGGAGAAGCCACCAGGAGAAGTCACCAGGAGAAGCTACCAGGAGAAGTCACCAGGAGAAGTCACCAGGAGAAGCTACCAGGAGAAGCTACCAGGAGAAGCCACCAGGAGAAGCTACCAGGAGAAGCTACCAGAAGCTACCAGGAGAAGTCACCAGGAGAAGCTACCAGGAGAAGCTACCAGGAGAAGCCACCAGGAGAAGCTACCAGGAGAAGCTACCAGGAGAAGCCACCAGGAGAAGCTACCAGGAGAAGCTACCAGGAGAAGCTACCAGGAGAAGCTACCAGGAGAAGCTACCAGGAGAAGCTACCAGGAGAAGCCACCAGGAGAAGCCACCAGGAGAAGCTACCAGGAGAAGCTACCAGAAGCCACCAGGAGAAGCTACCAGAAGCCACCAGGAGAAGCTACCAGAAGCCACCAGGAGAAGCCACCAGAAGCCACCAGGAGAAGCCACCAGGAGAAGCCACTAGGAGAAGCCACCAGGAGAAGCCACCAGGAGAAGCCACTAGGAGAAGCCACCAGGAGAAGCCACCAGGAGAAGCTACCAGGAGAAGCCACCAGGAGAAGCCACCAGGAGAAGCCACCAGGAGAAGCCACCAGGAGAAGCTACCAGGAGAAGCCACCAGGAGAAGCTACCAGGAGAAGCTACCAGAAGCCACCAGGAGAAGCCACCAGGAGAAGCCACTAGGAGAAGCCACCAGGAGAAGCCACCAGGAGAAGCTACCAGGAGAAGCCACCAGGAGAAGCCACCAGGAGAAGCCACCAGGAGAAACCACTAGGAGAAGCCACCAGGAGAAGCTACCAGAAGCCACCAGGAGAAGCCACCAGGAGAAGCCACTAGGAGAAGCCACCAGGAGAAGCCACCAGGAGAAGCCACCAGGAGAAGCTACCAGGAGAAGCCACCAGGAGAAGCCACCAGGAGAAGCCACCAGGAGAAGCTACCAGGAGAAGCCACCAGGAGAAGCCACCAGGAGAAGCCACCAGGAGAAGCCACTAGGAGAAGCCACCAGGAGAAGCTACCAGGAGAAGCTACCAGGAGAAGCCACCAGGAGAAGCCACCAGGAGAAGCCACCAGGAGAAGCTACCAGGAGAAGCCACCAGGAGAAGCCACCAGGAGAAGCCACTAGGAGAAGCCACCAGGAGAAGCCACCAGGAGAAGCTACCAGAAGCCACCAGGAGAAGCCACCAGGAGAAGCCACTAGAAGCCACCAGGAGAAGCAGGATGTCTTACAGGAAACTGACAGTCTTAAAGTGTGTTGATATTCCCTGAGGCCATCTCCTGACCGCCTCCCCCCTCCCCACAACAGGTGCCTAACTCTCGAATATCATCTTACTGCTGGATGAACAGAAGCATTTGAGGTAAACTATCATATCCAAACGTTTTGACCTGCACGGGACTCGAACCCGGGATCATTCGGTTGTGAGCCGACTGCGGCGAACACAGACTCGAAGCCTTCCAAATACCCTTGAATAAACAATTGTTTATTCTTGTTTTCCCTCTTTGTAGCGACCGTTCAGCAGGTGATTTAGAGCGGAAGACAACCGATGTGCGACTACAGACAAAAATAATGATATAATTAAGAATATAAAGGTAGAGAAGAAAGGAGGGAAGAGGGGGAGGAGGCCGGGGGAAAGTTTGTGAAGGTGTGGGCGGACACTGACAAGTTTGGTGGACCACAGGTGCTGGCCACGGCCAGTGATGAGCCACGAATTATGCAGTGACAGCCTCGGCCCTCTGATCTTGGTGGTGGGGCGCTCGCCCTCTCGCTCACTTTGCGGGAATGGTCGCTCACTTAGCGGGAATGTTGCCCTCTCGCTCACTTAGCGGGAATGTCGCCCTCTCGCTCACTTAGCGAAAATGGTCGCCTTCTCGCTCACTTAGCGGGAATGTCGTCCTCTCGCTCACTTAGCGGGAATGGTCGCCCTCTCGCTCACTTAGCGGGAATGTCGTCCTCTCGCTCACTTAGCGGTAATGTTGCCCTCTAGCTCACTTAGCGGGAATGTCGCCCTCTCGCTCACTTAGCGGGAATGTCGCCCTCTCGCTCACTTAGCGGGAATGTCGCCCTCTCGCTCACTTAGCGAGAATGTCGCCCTCTCGCTCACTTAGCGAGAGGGCGATGCTCTTATGGAGCATCGCCCCTCGGGGGCGATGCTCCAGTTAGCGCCAAATGACTGAGAGCTCCAGTTAGCGCCAAATGACTGTTAGTCGAGTGCCAGCAACGGAAACCGTCCTGTCGACAACTTTACTCTTGCGGTAAAGATCCCGAGGCCAGATTCACGAAGCAGTTAAGCAAGCACTTACGAACCTGTACATCTTTTCTCAATCTTTGGCGTCTTTGTTTACAAATATTAAATAGTTAATGAGCTGCGAAGCACCAGGCGGCTGTTTATAACTATAACAACAATTGATTGGGAAGCTTTGATGCTTGTAAACTGTTTGATAAATGTAACCAAAGCCGGCAATGACTGAGGAAAGATGTACACGATCGTAAGTACTTGCGTAACTGCTTCGAGAATCCGGCGCCCCTGGCCGCCAGGGCTTAGCGCTGTCCCCGAGACGTCGCCATAGTGTCCACACACACTATTCCTTACAGAGGAAATTAGTTTGAACTGACCGTGTTGCTTGTCATGCTGAGCGTAAAATAAGGCGGACGTTTGGTTAATGAGAAACAGAAATGGTTCAGTCCCCCGTCAGTACCTGTGACGCGGAGATGGGCGGCGCTGCCTTATTTACGCGTCCTTAAATTATTTTGACCCTGAGGGAAAAACTCGTTGGCAGACCTCCAGCTGGGGAACGTATTTATCTGTTATGATGCCGCTTTGTTGTGGTGGTTGTGAGGGCCGCGTTGTTGAGATGGTCCAGGTCCAAGACGGACCCAAACGTCGTCGGCCCTTCATTTTCTAGTGTGTGGTTTGGTCAACATATTTCAGCCAGGTTATTGTGACTCCTCGTCTGTATGTGTGATTTTAGGTTGGATATTTTGTGGAATGTTTATTGTATCATTTCCTGCCAGTTGAGGCCGGTGTCTCTGGTTAAGTGATGACACGCTCTCTCATCGTCATCCACGATGTTCACGACATAATGTGTGACGGGATAATGTGTGACGGGTTAATGTGTGACGGGTTAATGTGTGACGGGTTAATGTGTGACGGGTTAATGTGTGACGGGATAATGTGTGACGGGTTAATGTGTGACGGGATAATGTGTGACGGGGTAATAAGTGACGACATAATGTGTGACGGGGTAATGTGTAACTGGTCCTTCAGAGGCAAGGTATATCTTGAGATGATTTCGGGGCTCAGCGTCCCCGCGGCCCAGTCCTGGACCAGGCCTCCTTTTTGTTACACACCCCCATGAAGCAGCCCGTAGCAGCTGTCTAACTCCCGGGTACCTATTTACTGCTAGGTAACAGGGCCATCAGGATGAAAAAAACTCTGGCCATTTGTTTCCGCCTCGACCGAGGGATCGAACCCGGAACCTCAGGACTACGAATCCGAAGCGCTGTCCACTCAGCTGTCAGGCCCCTGTCAGGTAAGGTAAGGTAAAATTATCAGTAGAAAGCGCTAAGACATTACACTTATATAGCACTTGGGATGGGACGAGGGGAAGGGATGGTGCCTAGCCACTTGGATGGTCGGGGATTGAACACCGACCTGCATGAAGCGAGACCGTCACTCTACCGTCCAGCCCAAGACCCGGCAGCCTGGCTACATGTTGGGACCCCACCTGGTGGCGGCAGACCTCGCTGCTGCTGCTGCTGCTGGGGGGTCGAACCTGGTGAGTGAGCAGCGTGTTGGTGCTGCAGCGTGTCACCAGATGACGTCGTTAGTAATGGATGACCCAAGTAGTTACAGCCAGAGTTTCCCAAGGACATGATTGTGTTGAGTGATCAGGTACACGTCCACACTGTGATGAATGTACGTCACAGAGAGTTATGTAAGTACAGAGTTATGACAAGTTGTAACCAGGGTTAAACTATTTAGCTCTCCCGGTGACATGTTTTACCTGCACGAGGCTGTATGCAGAGTGTTGGATTTTCTTGATTTTGATACAAATTATAAAACCCATGAGCGTATTTCTAGACTTTTGAAAGTTACTGACTATTGACATTATCCTCACAGAGAATACGACCATTACTCTGTAGTGTGTACAGTAAGTTGGTACAGTTCTTACTGAAATAACTGAACTTGTGATAATTACATATTACTCTGCATACGAGGCTGACATCAGCTGCTGATCAGTGACAAGTTAATGCCCATAGCCAGTGACGTCACACGGCAGACAACAACAGTCGAGTTGAGTGACTTATTACTGATACGTGAGTGAGCTGAGGAGTAGTTATGCAGACTCCTGATGTGGTAATGATTAATAACTCTGGTTCCTGGCATAGAAGACTTCCCACTGGAAGCAGGGCGCTGTAGAGCAGCTAGATCTGGTTGTGGTGCTGCCAGAGCTGGTTGTGGTACCACCAGAGCTGGTTGTGGAGCCACCAGAGCTGGTTGTGGTGCTGCCAGAGCTGGTTGTGGTGCTGCCAGAACTGGTTGTGGTGCTGCCAGAGCTGGTTGTGGTGTTGCCAGAGCTGGTTGTGGTGCTGCCAGAGCTGGTTGTGGTGCTGCCAGGGCTGGTTGTGGTACCACCAGAGCTGGTTGTGGAGCCACCAGAGCTGGTTGTGGTGCTGCCAGAGCTGGTTGTGGAGCCACCAGAGCTGGTTGTGGTGCTGCCAGAGCTGGTAGTGGTGCTGCCAGAGCTGGTTGTGGTGCTGCCAGAGCTGGTTGTGGTACCACCAGAGCTGGTTGTGGAGCCACCAGAGCTGGTTGTGGTGCTGCCAGAGCTGGTTGTGGAGCCACCAGAGCTGGTTGTGGTGCTGCCAGAGCTGGTTGTGGTGCTGCCAGAGCTGGTTGTGGAGCCACCAGAGCTGGTTGTGGTGCTGCCAGAGCTGGTTGTGGTGCTGCCAGAGCTGGTTGTGGTGCTGCCAGAGCTGGTTGTGGTGCTGCCAGAGCTGGTTGTGGTGCTGCCAGAGCTGGTTGTGGAGCCACCAGAGCTGGTTGTGGTACCACCAGAGCTGGTTGTGGTGCTGCCAGAGCTGGTTGTGGTACCACCAGAGCTGGTTGTGGTGCTGCCAGAGCTGGTTGTGGTACCACCAGAGCTGGTTGTGGAGCCACCAGAGCTGGTTGTGGTGCTGCCAGAGCTGGTTGTGGAGCCACCAGAGCTGGTTGTGGAGCCACCAGAGCTGGTTGTGGAGCCACCAGAGCTGGTTGTGGTGCTGCCAGAGCTGGTTGTGGTGCCACCAGAGCTGGTTGTGGTGCTGCCAGAGCTGGTTGTGGTGCTGCCAGAGCTGGTTGTGGAGCTGCCAGAGCTGGTTGTGGAGCTGCCAGAGCTGGTTGTGGAGCTGCCAGAGCTGGTTGTGGAGCTGCCAGAGCTGGTTGTGGTGCTGCCAGAGCTGGTTGTGGTGCTACCAGAGCTGGTTGTGGTGCTGCCAGAGCTGGTTGTGGAGCCACCAGAGCTGGTTGTGGTGCTGCCAGAGCTGGTTGTGGTGCTGCCAGAGCTGGTTGTGGTGCTGCCAGAGCTGGTTGTGGTACCACCAGAGCTGGTTGTGGTGCTGCCAGAGCTGGTTGTGGTACCACCAGAGCTGGTTGTGGAGCCACCAGAGCTGGTTGTGGAGCCACCAGAGCTGGTTGTGGTGCTGCCAGAGCTGGTTGTGGAGCCACCAGAGCTGGTTGTGGAGCCACCAGAGCTGGTTGTGGTGCTGCCAGAGCTGGTTGTGGAGCCACCAGAGCTGGTTGTGGAGCCATCAGAGCTGGTTGTGGTGCTGCCAGAGCTGGTTGTGGTGCCACCAGAGCTGGTTGTGGTGCCACCAGAGCTGGTTGTGGAGCCACCAGAGCTGGTTGTGGAGCCACCAGAGCTGGTTGTGGTGCTGCCAGAGCTGGTTGTGGAGCCACCAGAGCTGGTTGTGGAGCCACCAGAGCTGGTTGTGGAGCCACCAGAGCTGGTTGTGGTGCTGCCAGAGCTGGTTGTGGTGCTGCCAGAGCTGGTTGTGGTGCTGCCAGAGCTGGTTGTGGTGCTGCCAGAGCTGGTTGTGGTGCTGCCAGAGCTGGTTGTGGTGCCACCAGAGCTGGTTGTGGTGCCGCCAGAGCTGGTTGTGGTGCCACCAGAGCTGGTTGTGGTGCTGCCAGAGCTGGTTGTGGTGCTGCCAGAGCTGGTTGTGGTGCTGCCAGAGCTGGTTGTGGTGCTGCCAGAGCTGGTTGTGGTGCTGCCAGAG